TTTTTTTTCTTTCTTCTTCTTCATTTTGAACCCAGGGCCTACTGCATGCAACTCAAGCTCTGTACCAACTGAGCTGTATCCCTAGCCCCCCAAGCATTTGTGTCTTTCTGTAGCACAAAAGGTGCTGCCTGAGAAACTGAACAGCAGTTCAAATGTGAAACATATTACAGAAAAATACGTTGTTGGAATGACCTGAAGGGTCAGAAGGATAGACTGGTGAACGCCATGCTGGAAGTGATGAAAAGAAGGAAAAACCTTGAAAAATAGAAAGAAAACTTAAAATGCATGAACTAAAAATTAAAATGTCTGCAGTATATCAGAAGAATCCAAAAGATGATCAGTATCAGTGAGCATATGCCACATGACAGTGTGCTCAACTCAGTAAACTGAAAATCCAGGGGAACTGGATATTCATGGTTGGTTGCAGAAATTAAGAAAAGATAGCTATATATTTTAAAGATTGGCAGTGATAAAGCATCTACTGATGCCCAAGCAGGGGGACATTCACAGAAGAGCTGGCCAAGGTTGGCACTGGTGGAAGCTGTCACTATCCTGATGCCAGAACAAGTCTGTCATGCTACTATCCCCATGAGAAGCCCCCGCAGAACCCAGGAACCAACAGAACCAAGGCTGGGATGTGCTGATGAGCAGCTTGCCCAGCTCTCTGCAGACCTGCTGCAAGTGAGGAAAGCTCTAGTACTCCCTGTTTTAAAGGAGCCGGTTTCTTGCCAGGCCATTGTTATGCCAATAAAAAGACATGGATTGCCAGGAATGTATTTCTGATTGATTTCATAAGGATTTTGCTCCAGTGGCTCAAGTCACCTTGGGGAAGCTGCACTGGTTTCTTGCAAGCCTTAGTGCTTCCTTGGTAATCGAGCTGCTTGTCTTGCTGAGACTCCTCAGAAACAGTGTTTGTGCTATGTCCTTTCCCTAAATGTGACTGCATCACTCCAGCCTCGCCTTGAGTCCGTAGTGCTGTAGATCACTGAAGAATGAGCAGAGCAAGTGCTGGTAGTAGGGAACAGAGATTGGTGTGGAACGTTTTCCAGGGAGTTTTGTAGGCGGCCGCCATATGCACTGCGCCTGCACCTTTTTGTTTTTGTTCTTTTTTACCGTGTTATTGACATGTTGTATTTTTCACTCTTAAGTCCTTACATGTGAATAAGTGTAAGAAAATGATTGCTGTAGCACAGATTCACTCAAGACAGTGGTAGTGCCAGGCAGCCATAGGTGTCCCCAGGGTGTGGAGACAGTCATCTGTGCTTACTTCCCTGCTTTCTCTCTTCCTTCCCTTCCCTTCTCCAGCCCCAGCCCTTTTACTTAAATTTTTTTTTTTTAGTTGTTGATGGACCTTTATTTTGTTTACTTGTATGTGGTGCTGAGAATTGAACCTAGTGCCTCATGCATGCTAGGCAAGCATGCTACCAATGAGCCACAACCTCAGTCCCAATGTCCCCAGCCCTTTTATGTTTCATTTCAAGGTAGGGTCTTGCTAAGTTTCCCAGGCTGACCTTGAACTTGGATATACTCCTGCTTTGGCTTCTCGGACACCTTTGTTTTCTGATGGTTCAGTGTTCAAACTTTGTTTCATGCACAACATTATTAAAAATATTGTGTGCTAGGCACTGTGGCACACACCTGTAATTTATTGGTTCAGAAGGCTGAGGCAGGAGGATTGCAAGTTCAAAGCCATCTTCAGCAACTTAGCAAAGCCCTAAGCAATTTAGTGAGACCCTGTCTCATAGTAAAAAAATAAAAAGGTTGAGAATATGGCTTAGTGGTTAAGTGCCCCTGTGTATACACACACACACACACACACATATACACATATACACACACATATACACACATACATACATACTCACATACATATATATGTATACATATATATAGATTTATATAAAATATGTATATATGTATAGATCTATCTATGTACCTATGTATGTATGTATGTATTTATATATAGTACAAAATTGTCTTCAGGCTGTGTGTGTAAGGTATATATGAAACATAAGTGACTTTTGTTTTTAGGCATAGTCCCATCCCCAAAATATTTTGTTATGTATGTGTGGATATTCTAACATATGAAAAAATCCAAAATTCAAAATACTTTTGAGTCTTAAGGATTTTGGATAAGAGATGCACAAATTGAACCAGAAACTAGGTGATTTAAAATTGAACTTTACTTCTTATGGTTCTGGAGGCTTAAAAGTTCAAAATCAAGGTGCCATTGGGGGCATGTCAGACCTCTAGGAGAGGGTTCTTCCTGCCTCTTCTAGCGCCTCACAGCCAGGGGCTCCCAAGCTTGTGGTGAACCACTCCATGTGGTGGCCACTCACGTCTGTTTCTGGGTCTTTTATTTTATAAGCTCACCAGTCATATTGAATTAGGAGCCAATGTACTACAGTACTGCCTCATTTAACTACTTCCATCTACAGTGGTCCTATTTCCAAGTAAGGCCACATTCCGAATTATTGGGCATCAGGACTTAACCATATCTCCTTAGGGGGTACAGTTCCTCCTTATTTGTGTAAGAAGTGGAATTGTATAAGTAGTGTGTTTTGTTTTTTAGATTTGGAACCAAACATTTTACCTAAAAGGTATTGACAAATGTCACACTTAAATAGGGGAAATAATTTGTGTTAATATCAATAGACAGCAGGTAGGCAGAAAGTCTAGGAGATGATGGGAAAGACTTGAGTTAGTTTTCTTTAGTGATTATCATATATAAATTGTTAATCTTGATGTCTGTGTTATTTTTCTGTCACTATAGAAGAGTACCTGAGGTTGGGTGTAGTGGCTCATGCCTGTAATCCCAGTGATTTGGGAGTCTGAGGCCAGGAGAATTGCAAGTTCAAGTCGGCTTCAGCAACTTAGTGAGCACCTGTCTCAAAAAATGGAAGTGGCTAGGGATGTGGCTCCATGGTAAAATGCTCCTGGGTTCAATACCCAGACCCCCAACCAAAAAAACCCACTTGAGATAGTTAATTACAGTTGTGAAGGTTCCAATCTATAGCCAGGCAGGCCCATGATGTCTTGTCTCTGGGGAATGGTACTCTGTGGCAGGAGCAAACGGTTAACAGAGCCCCACTTCAGCAGGAAGAGACCCGAGTCCCCCTGTCCCCTCCAGGGTACACCATGACCTCAAGACCTTCTATGAGGCTTCCCAAGGCTTTGCCACCTCCAAGTGCTGTTGCCCTGAGACCGTGCTTGCACAGGATTCATGCCCTGTGAAGGGGAAGCTTAGCAGTGTGGGGCACCCCGTCAGGCATTTTCCTCTTCCTGCCACTGCTGCATCTTGGTCCCAGTGGTTGTGCACCAGCTGCACCTCCCCTTCATGTGGTGTTTCTTCTGTGTGCGTGGCGTGGCGCTTGGCTGCTCACCCACCTCCTCTCTCCCGCGTGACCCTGAAGGCAGCTCTATACTCCTACGGCTTCCGACTCCGTGTACTCCCCACCATTCCTAACCTGAGCACTTTAATTGAAGAGAGCTTTTCATTTCTTTCAGATTTGGATACTAATGTTGAAATGAAATCACCTGTTTCCAGTAAGAACATTTCTCAAGATAAAAAACCCTGTGGCATTAAAGTAGAAGGAATGGCAAGGAAGGATCTCTGGTATCTGTCATTGGAAGACATGTGGAAATGTGAAGACCCATTGGGCAAGTATCAGGAGAATCAAGACAGACATTTGAGGCAAGTGGCCTTCACCCCAAAGAAAGTCTTTCCTCCAGGCAGGGTCTGTGAGAGTGGTAAGTATGAGGGCAGCTGTCTCCTTCCTGCTCAGCTGGTGCTGAGGGAGTATTTCCACACACGGGGCTCAGATGAGAGAAGCATGAAACATGACCTGGCATTTAGGGGGCATCAGGGGCACTGCGTGGGTGACAGTGGAGAGTGTGGCCAGGCCTTCTGCAAAAACATCCACCTGATTGAGTGTGCGAGAGCTCACACAGGAGGCCAACCCTGCAAGTGCCCTGCTGGCAGCAGCCCTCTTGATCCCGGAGCATCCCTCCACGTGTCTCCGGGCACACACAGGGAGAAGCCCTATGAGTGTAAGGAGTGTGGAAAGTTCTTCAGCTGGCGCTCCAATCTTACCAGACACCAGCTCATTCACACTGGAGAGAAACCCTTTGAATGTAAAGAGTGTGGAAAGTCCTTCAGCCGGAGTTCCCACCTTGTTGGGCACCAGAAGACGCACACTGGCGAGGAGCCCTATGAGTGTAAAGAGTGTGGAAAGTCCTTCAGCTGGTTCTCCCATCTGGTCACCCACCAGAGGACACACACTGGGGACAAACTGTACACATGCGGTCAGTGTGGAAAATCCTTTGTCCACAGTTCCAGGCTCATTCGGCACCAAAGGACACATACAGGAGAGAAGCCCTACGAATGCCCCGAATGTGGGAAGGCCTTCCGACAGAGCACGCACCTCATTCTGCACCAGAGAACTCATGTCCGAGTGCGGCCCTACGAGTGTAGTGAGTGTGGGAAGTCCTACAGCCAGAGGTCCCACTTAGTGGTGCACCACCGGATCCACACTGGCCTCAAGCCTTTCGAATGTAAGGACTGTGGGAAGTGCTTTGGTCGCAGCTCGCACCTCTTCTCACATCAGAGGACCCATACTGGAGAGAAGCCTTACGAGTGTCACGACTGTGGAAAGTCCTTCAGCCAAAGCTCTGCCCTCATCGTGCACCAGAGAATCCACACTGGGGAGAAGCCCTACGAGTGCTGCCAGTGTGGGAAGGCCTTCATCCGCAAGAATGACCTTGTGAAGCACCAGAAGACCCACGCCGGAGAGGAGACCTATAGGTGTCAGCGGTGTGGCCTTGCCCTCAGCCAGGACTCCCCCTGTGTTGTCCATCAGGTAGGGCATACTGGGGAGCAGTTCTTTACCTGCCATCAGTGTGGGGCTGAGCTTGCAGGAAGCCCTGCTCTCACCTGCATTCCAGACAAGGCGTACTAGGAAGCAAGGGCTGGTGTGGTCACTGTAGGGCATCCTTCACCCAAAGCTTTGCAGAACACCTGGAGAGAAGCTCTGCACTTGGACATATGTGGAGTCAGGTATGGTGGCCAGTCCTGTGATCCCAGCTACTCTGGAGGCTGAGGCAGAAGGATTGCAAGTTCAAGACCAAGCTCAGCAACAGTGCAACCCTGTCTCAGAATAAAGAATAACTTTAAAAAGGTTGGGGTGCAGCAGAGCATTCCTAGATTCCATACCCAGTACCCCCCTAAAAAGGTCCTGGAGTAGGAAAATCCACTAATTTCATTTCAGTACACAAGTCCAATTTTCTGAAGCATTATTGACCAACTGAAAGTGCTAGCCTGAGGAGGAGCTGTGAGGGTGGTGGTTGGGGATGATCCAGCCTCATTGCTGTCCTCAGAAGGAGAAGAGACGAGGGTACCTGTGTGGGGAGTGTCTTGCTGAGAACGAGAACAGCTGGGCTGCTGCATCAAGCTGGCAAGACGCACTCCCTTGGCCAGGTGCTGCTCAGTGGCACTTCTGAGGTTGACGTCTTGGCTAGGCCACACTTTGGTTAGCAGCAAGGAAAATGCCTCTCATGTCAAACAGTAAAGAACACATTTATACTACTGGTGATAACTCATTTTTAAATACAGTTCCACGAGGGCAAGAATTCAGTGGAAAGATGAGAAAGTCTTGGTAAATGGGAAAAACTGACGTGTTAGTTTATGGGATTTGAGCTTTATAGTCTATTCAGTGTTGCTAAAATAATTGTTAAGACATCTTAAAGTGCTCAGAAAGGACATCTAGTTTCTTCAGTATCCAGGAAGCTTGAGGACCACCTGCTGGCCAAGGTTCCTATTGATTCTAAATTGTTTGGGGCCTTAGAGTTCCACTCTTTGCAAAAAGGTGCTGAATGTTCCTAAGCATTTTAAAATGCAGCAGTTCTCTGCATGTGGAGACTTAGAGGATCGTTGGGCATTTGGATACTTAAGGGAGGGTCACCATTGGATCAGGAGCAGGAACCTGGGCAATATTCAGAGCACATGTGTGCACCAGACAACCCAGCACTGCTGAATCCTTTCCCTTTGTAGAGGAGACTTATTGCCTGAGGGCATGTACTCCAGCTGGAATGCCCAGGGTGAAATCCCACCTCTTTCCCTGACTAGCTGGTGTTCGTGGGCATCTGCTTGGCTTCTGTCTACCTGAAGTGCAGACAGCCTCCCAGCAAGCTAGAGATGAGGGGAGCACGTACCTTGGATCTTCGAGGTGAGTGTTTGAGAGTGAGTGTGACAGCTTAGAAGAGGGCCTCACGTGTGCCAAATTCTTTGTCACTATTACCGTGATTGTTAATATATTCCCCCACTGAATGTTACTTGTCACCTAATTTACATGTGCTTGTTGCTTCCTGGTTTCTCAGGTCCTGACAACCACCTGCTGACCAAGGTTCCTATTGATTCTAAATTTTCTGGGGCCATAGAGTTCCACTCACACATGCTTTTCCCTTTTGCCTAAGTCAGAATTTACCTGTGAAAGTTACTGACAATTACTGGGATTATGGTTTAATTCCTGAGGATCAGTAACAGCTTTTAATATTGTATGCAAAATTGTTTTGTTGGTACAGAGGTCTTCTAGGGGGAAGACCCCAATTTTCAGATTCTCTGGTAAGTCCATTACCCAAAAAAGATTCAGGAATAGGATCTGCTTTAATTTTCTGTTTCATTCTATAAATGAATCTTTGTGTGTTGTGAAAAGTGTCAAAATCAAAGTGAAGTAGCTTGCGTCAACCCTAATAAAAAAATAAAGCCACGAGGTTGTGAAGGAAGAGCTATCATGCATGATTGCCTGGTAGTGACTTTGATAAGATGCTCAGAGAGCCACACGTGCACTCAGAGGCCACGAGGCTTCACACAGATGGCCCTTCACGGGGATGCCTGCCCAGAGGCTGTGTTCAGCCTTGGAGTGATGTCACCTTGCTGTTCATGGTTATGGCCAGTCAACTTTCAAAATACATGGTGTCCTTGTTTTTGCCTTTAAAAACCTCCCCTTGCTGCCACCTCCATGAGTACATCTGCAGTTTACTGTGACACACATTTTCCTATTGCAGTGCTACTCCTAAGCAACAGTTGCCTTGGCTTCAGTGTCGCTGTGTGCTTCTCAGTTAGCAGTGGGGACTGACCATGGTTTGCTATTTTATAGCACAGGCGATGCTCAGATGGCTGAATGATAACATTGCAGAGACAAGTAGGTTGTGATCTCTCTTGGGAAGAACTAGGATGGTGGCTGGAATCAGAGTCTTGTAAAGGAGCATAGCCCCTCATAACTTGTGCTTTGTGATAAAGTGGGGAGAACATCAGTGGTGGCAGAGCCAGTCAGATCCAGGGCTGCTCATTTCCCCATGCTGTTCACACGCAGTGTGCTCCTGTCCGAGGTTTTCATTACGGCTGTAGTTCTTCACAGGAATGTCAGATAGCCCTTTAAGTGGGCCTTGGGTTTTCTGATACCTGTGACTGGTGTTCCTTAACCTTTCAAGGAGGATACTACTAATACCTGCTTCAGAGGGCTGTTGTGTGGACTGACATGACATGCAAGCCACACCTGGTAGGTGCATTTGTGAGGGCTGTGGGTAGTTCTGCTGACAGCACCTGACAGGTATCTAGCTGAAGTGTTGCTTACAACAGTGCATTATTTGCAAAATAATAAGAAGTGCCCAATAGCAGAACAGTTATACATGGCATAACCATGGTGTGGCATGTCATGTACCAGAAGTCTGACAGCATCAGAAAGTGTCAGTGCTGCCACACACTGTGAAGAAAGCTCGAGCAGGGTCAGCATGGAGCGAGCACAGCTGCTTAAGTGAACGCCTCCTTAGACAGCAGAGGGTGCCACCCTGACCGACCAGTGTGTGGAAAGTTTACCTTCCTGCTGGGAGAACTGGAGTTTGCTCTTCTTTCTTTCATTCTACTTTTAAATTTACTTTTCTATTCTTGACAAAGTCTCCTTGAGGAACATAAGCTAGTTTTAGAATCAGGAAAACAGTCCCCTCAGTGATATAATTTTTTTTTTCTCTTCAGAAACTCATGTTTGCGAGTAATCTTGATGAGGAACTTTATCAAGGCCACAGGAAAGGAAGCCGGCTCTCAGTCCACGTACCACAGCAGAGGCATGCAGTGTTAGGGGTCCCAGGGAGCAGGCGCAGTCTGCAGTTAGTGAGGGATGCTGCCAGAAGATGGCAGGCAGACGGTGAGCATGGGAAGTGCAGGGGCACAGCCAGCTGCCCTCCTATGAAGCACCTGCCTAGCCATGCAGGGCCTGGGCTCAGTCCCAGCACCACATAAAAGAAGAGTGTCTCTGTCATAGCCAAGGTTTGGAAGCTCAGTGTGGTGGTGCTCCACAGATAGTCTTTTTAGATTTAGAGGCATTCATATGGAAATTGACAAAGTAATCAAAAATTTAAATGGCAATGAGAAGGGCCTAGAAAAACAAAAGAATTTCTGAAGAAGAAAAAAGCTGATCCAAGACCAGCTTGAGCAACTTTGGAGACCCTGTTTGAAAATGAAGAGTGGAGTGCTGCCTAGCACTTGCAGAAACCTGGTTCAAGATAGTCCTGCCAAAATGAGTGAACAACAACAAAACCCCCAAATATGAGGGCTGCACTATCTGATTTCACAGCTTTACCACAGAACTATGTTAGTAGTACTGTGTATTATTGGCATCAGCCTGGGTATGTAAGTAAGTCAGTAAGATGCGAAGTTTAGAAACCAGTCTACACCTAGATTCTCCAGTTTTGAATAAAGTGTCCAAATAATTTGGTGTAGGAACGAGTTTTCAATGAATGCTGCTGAAATAACTAGGTATTTGAATGGGGGCAGAGAAAGACTCCCCTTACTTCAAGGTACATAGAAGAAGTAACTTGGAATGCATCACAGAGCTGAATATGAAAGCTGACAGTGAAGGTATCTAGGAAAAATACTTATGATAATAGTGTAGGGGAAGATTTCTCAGCACCAAAATCACAAGTTTTACATAGAAGAAAACTAAAAAAAAAAAAAACCCAAAAAACAGCCAGGCACAGTGGCACACCATGTAATCCCAGCAACTCATGAGACTGGAGGAGGAGGATCACAAGTTCAAGGCCAGCCTGGGCAACTTAGCAAGGCCCTCTCTCAAAAATTTAAAAAAGGGATGGGGATGTAGTTAAGGTAGAGCTGGGTTCGGTTCCTAGCATGCATGAAGCCCTGGGTTTCATCCCCAGAATGGAAATAACTTTAGCTCTTTAAAAAGTACTGGTTAGGCTTGGTGTGGTGGCACACACCAATCCTAGCTGCTGGGGAGGCTAAGGCAGAAGGACTGGGAACTTAGCAAGGTGCTTAGCAATTCAGTGAGACCCTGTCTCTAAATAAAAATATTAAAAAGGATTGGGAAGGTAGTTCAGTGGTTAAGTACCCGCGGCTTCAATCCTTAGTACAAAAAAAATTACAAATACACTGGGTGTTGTGGCACATGCCTGTAATCCCAGAGACTCTGGAGGCAGGAGGATTGAACATTTGAGGCCAGCCTTACAACTTAGACCTTGTCTCAGAATTAAAAGGGCTGGGTGTAGCTCCATGGTAAGGCAACCCTGGGTTTAATCCCCAGAACTGCAAGACCATCAAAAACCTGTGGAAGCAGGAGAAGGTGGAGACTGAGCAGGGGCCCATTGATGGGAGCAGTTTTTGGCATCCTGCTGGCCACCTTCATCCTCAATATCTGGTGTCTACAAGCTCACTGGTGTTGGTGGCAACAGGCAAGTTCTGCTGTGAGATCTTGGGAACAGGAAGTCATGCTGCCCACGGGTCAGTGGAGAGCTGGAGTGAGAACCTCTCCACTTGGAAATGACTGCTCTGAACAGTTAGTAGGAGCTAAATGAGTGAGAAAAATCTAACAGTGAATTTTTTTTAACATAATGCAAGTAATTGGATGCTGAATAAAAAATAATATACAAAGCTGACCCATGAGTATGTCACAATACATACATCTGACAAAGACTTCTATCCCAAATGTAAAGAGCTCTATAACTTAAGAAAACAACCCAATTGACTTGTCTCTTGGGCTGTTTTTTTTTGCCTGACAGCCATGTTCCATCAACTGGAGGGTCCAGAGTGGGGTTGAGAAGGACCTCTGGGTATAGCAGTGTGTTCCCATCGCAGTTAATTCTAGGAAATGCTTTTTTTCAGAAATGACAAGACCATGGCCAAAAAAAAAAAGAAAAGAAAAAAGAAAATGGTGGTGGCTGTGTTTGATGTGACCTTGTGTGCAGTTCCTAATGCTCAGAAATTGGAGCCTCATTCTCTAGTAATGAAGCATTAATGAGGGCTGGGTCTCTGGTGACAGCACCTCCCCCTTTCTCTCTAAAACCACATATCCATTGATCGAAACAATGACTGAATATACTAAGGCTGTTTACACCTTAATTTCTCTTTACCAACAATAAACAAATTATTTGGGAAAATGAATTCTGAGACCATAGGGGAAGATGAAGTGTGGCAGGTGGTCACAGGAGCCAGAGTTGATATGGTGCCCAAACAAGAGGACTTGAGGCTGGAAACCACTTGGGTGACTGCAGTTGGTCTTCAGAGACGGCAGCCAAAGCCGAGTACCAGGCCTCCAGAACTGCTAACTGGTGAGCTCTCAGGTGCAGGTGTGCTGGCTCTCCCAGAAAGCAGAAACCAAGCTGGCAGGAATGCACATGCAGGAGACGAGAGGGCCAGCCAGGAAAGGAGACCTCCTGCTGGAGACTGAGGCCTGAGCTGGCTGTCCTTTCTGCCCACTTAGTGGGAAGCAGAGGTGGATGCCCTCCCACAGTAGCAGCACAGCTCTGCACAGGCTCATCAGGCCAGGAGCCTTGATGAGCGTTGAATGCCTGTCCCTTTCTCTTATGGTCTCAGATTCTCCTGGACCTGGTTGTTAGTTCTTGGGTTCTGTATGTACCCTGTTTAACACTGCACCCCCCCACCCCCCAGAATACCTGGTCGCTCTCATTTTTACCTATGCCTGAAGCATTTTACCAGATTGGGCCAGAGAGGAGTCTTTTAGTCATTTCCTTAAGTTCCAATAGCTATTTGACCTCAGTTTCAAGCTTGCTCAGATTTTCAAATATGATTTAATATTTGTTCCCTCCATAGGAATTTGAGATTGGTGAGGAAGGGGAGCCTGTTTGCTGTAAGATTTCTTTATTAGCATATGTAATGTCTTCTCTGATATGGCCTTCCCACCAGCTCTTTGGGCAGCTGAGGCCAAAGGGCGAGATTATGACAGTTATGAAGATGAGTACAGAGTGTTCACCTGCTACTCCAATATATGCCACCTGCATTGTTTTCTTCTTTCCTTTGAGTTTCTCTGTTGTACCCAAAGGAGAATAACGTTTTAACAATCCAATTAGAAACTGCAGAATATTTTCACATGCTTCACAAATGAATACATGAGTGGTCAGTAGACACATGACAAGATGCTCAGCATAGGGAAATGAAAATCAAAACCAGGAGGAGCTAGCACTTCACATCCAGTGTCATGGCCAAGGAGAATCAGATGAAGTGGGGGGTGGAGGAAGGGGGGGTTAGAACTGACATTGGTGGTGGGCTGTAAAATGGCTCATCTGCTTGGAAACTAGTTTGGCAGGTTCTCGAAATATTAAACAGTTAACTGTATGACCATCAAGTCCACTGTATTTCCCCAAGGGAATTGAAAATATGTCCCTTCAGGAACATGTAGATGTATGTGTAACACTGTTCTGAAACAGGAATAGACACAGACATAAGGATGTGTGAATGAATGAGCAAATGGTGTTGAA